GGTGTGTATATCACGGACACTAACATTACCATCGAGTTGTGAAAAGGAAGTCTAAAAATACTTATTTAGATATATAATTTAAATTTAAATATCTTTTTGTATCCAGCCTACCTCTGTCGGGGCCACGTCACCATCCGATGTTCAGAACAGCTCTGTTTTGAAATCAGAGCCCTTATCTCCGCTTACATCACCCACTGCTCCAGGTGTCACTTGCCACTCCGAATCATCTGCATCCTCTAGTGTATCTTCGGCTGCCTCTTTATCATCTATAGCCGATTCTCATACACATGAAATCGGGGCTCTACAAGGTTGCAAGCGTCCATGCAACCGGCTATCAAAACCTAGTCAGGCCAGTTCTCGCTTGATTTGTCGATCAGCAAACTCGGCTAACGTCTTTCCTTTTCGAAGTCGAGGCAGTTCTGAATTAACCGGGGCTTCTGATCTAAGGAAGCCTGAAGTCTCATTTCCTATAAAGGGTATATTGGTGTGAAAACCTAAATTATAATTACATTCTGATCTAAATCTTTTTTCACTGCATGAATCGTATTTTAACAGATTGATCCACTAAATTGATCTGAATTTCAAGTTTTTATTCGAATTTTATATTTTTACTGCTCGATATAACTTTTTTTCAGATTAGCTGATCTTCGCTGTGCCTTCTTTAAGGCTTCTATTCCACCAGAAAGCTCTTACTTGAACCATCTGTAGGCCGTGTAATTAACGAATTAGTTGATTCAATACGTTGGCACTAAAGGGGATACTTAGTTTTTGTGTCATCTTATTTTTCCATGACAAAGGCCTCTAATAATTTAAGTCGGGTAGTATCCTCATAGTGAACTCAGGTCCTTAAAAGCCTTGGTGATAATGTTCATACTAAGCATATTTTTAAACTTTGCTATATAATTTTTGCCAACTTCCTTTTTGCCACCAATCTTCCATTAGCTTTGCTATCCTAAAGGCTTGTCCGGAAAGAAATTGAGTTTCGACTTTAAGGTCCTATATGCAATAAAACTGAAATTATTGGCATAAGTAAATACCTTATCAGTCCTTAACTATGCAGGATATCTTTTCTCTGGAGAATATTTTAATGATTTCATGTAAATGGACTTTTCATTTCACCTCAACAGTTTAGTGTCAGTGTTTGATCTTCGGTTTAGTGTCTGGTGAAGTTTGGTTTCTCGCCATCTTGATACCTTCCAGACCATGGGCGAATAATTTACATATAATTGTCAGCATTGCAGGACGGTGCTCAGGAAACATATTTGCACATTTTAACATTCACAAATCCAGGGCACTTTTCCAATATCCGACGAGGCCAATTTACGAATCCTTTTCGCTAAATTTTGCAATGCAAAGTGTACTTAGTCCTATGTCCTCTGCCATAGGGGTAATGTATAGAATCGGAACATCGACTTAGTACATTCCTAGACGTTTCGTTGGCATCATCATTGATAGGCACTATTCTTTTTACAGAGTTATAACTTATCAAATAGAGAAATGGCAATCCCTTCGACCAATTTTATATGCAATCGTTGTGGCATCTTATGGGCCATATAAAGAGCCATACGAGAGATAAGGCGGCAGCACTAGAAGCTTGGACACAAGAGGGAAGGTTCCATAGTGATAGGAAAGAAAATTGGTCAAGTTATTACTTTCTTCTGTCAATTTTTAACAAATTATAACTGTGCTACGAATGGTACCAGCATAACGTCGGCGAATCTACCAAGTCAATGGTCTTGTACTATTAATTATCCTAAAATTATCGCAGATGTTGGACTTGATATGTTCCACAAGGTCTCCATATCGCATCCGACCAAGTAGCGAGAGAGAGGTCAAGCCAACATTATGCGGATAGTGGATTGTGGTCCAACTAAAGGCCACATAAGCCTGGTCCTATATACGGTTTTATTTACATTGATATAACGGATTTTCACTGGTCTTATAGCAAAGTGAGACCTGACATTTTGAATTTAAAAAATATTTTTATTTGGTGTCATCTGAGCACTACGCATTTCCATTATTTCGCGTTTAAATAATTAAATACTTATGATTTTGATAGAAATTGTTTTACAAATTCTCCTGAGGGTTTTTTATCAATTTACTCAATATTAATTGAATTTGCTCGTTTTTAATAGACTATTTGCTTTATTTATCATATTCGACTTTTTTTCCATGATTTGTTTTATGCTTCGAGCTTCCCTGATTTAGTTAGGACATATTAGAAAGGCCTCTTACTATCCTCGATTCGGTGGGATTTTGAATGCCTGATTAATTTTATTGTCGACTCGACTAATTACTTCGGACTTCTTAGAATATCATTGTATACATTGTTTTAAAATGATTAGGCATGAACTATCATTATTATACTGTCGATATTCTTAATATTCTTTTTTTTGCTCTTCGAAAATTGTCTCTTGGATTTGCTTGGCTGAATTTAGTTACACGGGCATTTCTTTGTTTTAATTTAACCATATTCAAACAACCTCTTTCCATGTTCGATTACCTTTCATTTCGTCGGAAGAGGCCGTTGGAATGTATTCGTAAGTTGGTTCCACCCGAAGCTAAGAGGGAATTGCCTTGGAGTCGTCATTGTAGATATGTGCAAATAGATCCTCTGCACATCGCCCTGAAACCCCGATTAATATTTGCCGAGCTTTTGTTTGTCATGTGACAGACATCATCAGAGCAGGACGATAATTCACCAAAAACACGAAGGCAAGAAA